ACACACACACACACACACACACACACACACACACACACACACACACAAATAGATGCTGGCAACACACACCTGACACACACGTGACTTCAACACTTGTTCACCAGAACAGGAAAGAAACACATATTTGAGATTTCTCTCCCTTTACACAAGCATATGAAGTGTCCATGACAGTTGACCTAGGAGGGACAAGTGGCCATGTAGTCCATTGTAGATGCCTTCAGGTTGCAGAAGCTTATTCATTTGTGGAATTTATAACAGACTGATCGGTAAATCATATTATTTTAACATGTAGCAGGTCTTAAAAACACACTGACAAATCGTCAGGGAAATACTGCTGTAACAACAATAAACCACAAACAAATTTAGAACATTTGTGATTTTGGGGGGGGACAGTGGATAGTTAAGAATTGACAAGAAACCAAAGAGAGAGAGACAGGGTATGACAAACTAGTATTTGATGCATCTTAACCTCTAGGCCACTGGTTGCACTAATTTATAGTAAAGTTTTGATTTGGAGTACAAAGGGCATTTGATCTACAAATTACAAAATATATGACTAGATGTGCATGTCAGGTCTGTAAAGAATTTGCAATGAAGTAGATACGAGCTCACATCTATGGCTATCTTCTCCAGTGCTCACTGTGAAATGAAGAGGCTGTTCAACACGCCTACCAGCTCACTGTTTTTATTACACCTGTTAACTGCTTGCTGACATGATGCCTCACAAAAGGATCATCTTCAAGTCAAAGAAAACATAAATCTCACAGCACGTAAGCTAAACAACGGTGGGTCTTGTACAGCTAACTTACTTGATTTACTGGTAGCCGGGGTGAATGAAGCATTGCGATTGGTTGCTTGGCTGACAGCCGGGGGTGGAGGAGGCATGTTGGGTGGGGTGGACCTGGGCTGGGTTTTCACATCCGCAGGTGAATCTGGCATCGTTCCAACCTTCTGCACTCTGCTACCTGTGATTTGAAAGAAGAAGAAGAAAAGAAAAAAAAAAAGACAATCATCAAGATGGAGCTCCAGAATGAAAATAAAATAATCATACTTTCAGAGTGGAGACAGCTGGTTAAGGAGGAGACCACTGACATTTTCACCTGGGAACCATCGATTGTTTCCTTAAACCATAAGACCCATAAAATAAATCAATGCAGGGAGTGGAAATGAATCCAAACCTGTATTGTGTCTCTCTTGTTGGAGATTCATGGGCCTGGGAGACACACAGTAACACCTGCTCACTCGCTCAGCTGCTGCTGACTGAGAGCCTCCCCTCCCCCCTTCTCTTCCCTCTCTCTTTCTCCCTCTCTCTCTTTCTCTGACATCCCAATCAGTGCCCCTACACTGTAACCTCCAACCCCGAGACACACACACACACACACACATGCACACACTCCTCACTCCTCCACGCCTGTCCCCTCTCGTCCCCTAGTTCAGACAGCCGGCTTGACAGCCAGTGACAAGTGCAGCTGGATCTGCTGCTGTCCATCACTGGACTTTCAGCAGAGCTCCGTCCTGCTACCAGAAGCCTCACTGTCCTCTGCCAGACACCCTGCCAGCACCAAACAAGGCAAGGCCAGGCTCTGGAGGGTGAAGGGAATGGATGGTACAGCAAGGGACATGAGAAGAAAACATGACACGGGCGGATGTTCCAAGTGTGTGAGGACTGTCGCCTTACGTTCTGCATTTGTGGCAAAGGGCCTCATGCAGCGTATGCGAACAGTGTGTCTTCAACAAAAACGCTGTCATGCACACAACCGCATACAGGAGTCAGACTATATTGATACAGTATATAATGGATAAACAAGCAGCAGGTCTGTTTTTTAGTGATGTATCTGTGGAGTGTTGACTGTCTTTCTGTCTATGTGTCCGTCTGTCACTGCAGCTGCTGGAACCAGATCTTTCTGTAATGTAAACCCGAGCTAAGAGGTGTGATGACTTGCGAGAAGCTTTAGAGTATGTGTACATGTGTGCAACTGGCAGGGGGCGCACTAAATGTGCAGTATGCAGTGAAAATAAATACGCAGGACGTTTATGTATTAGAACATAAATGTGTGTATTTCTGCACTAGTACTACAAACCACCATTAAGTGTAGTAAACACATGCATTCATAATGAAAGAGAGAGGACAGAAGACAATTTTCTATGTTCAAAGCAGATGCAAACCACATTGTAGCATTTATTGATTCTCAATAACGCTGTGTTTTTCTTTTTCCTTTTCAGCTGTCTCTAAATGGATTACAGGATTAAAGAAATTAACTCGGTCCGTTCTGTCAAACGTGGAACCCTAACAAAAGCCTTATTTCACATTTCACATCCTTATGAGGATAGAGTAGAGGTCACTGCCAGGGTGGCCCTGTCACGAGACCGGGCTTCTGCAAACGACACAGGGAAAGAGGTTATTATAGGCAGTGATTACTCCTTGTTATCCTGATAACAAAAATAATTTCAAACCAAGCAGCCAAAGGCCTTTCATACATCTGAACACTGTTACGGAACCTCTTTTACAGCTGCAAATGTATTGTAGTCACAAACTAACATACAGTATTAAATCACTTTCAAATAATGTGTTTTGTCATTTCACTCCCCGTGAGCCAACTGTGAACCCAGTGTTTTCCTCCACAAGACTCCTGCCTCAGTTGGCCTCAGTCCTTGGTGTTAGCCTATTTCTGAGAGCTCATGTAGATGCGTTCAACAGCTGGTGTCTGTATTTAAAGAGTGCCACTCTGGAGTGTGCTGTACGAGGGCCATTGACACAGGGATCCTCAAGAACACAAGGGGCACTCCGCTGTTTTCCCCATGCCAGATGCACTGAACACAAACACACAAGGTTGTAGATAGAGGCAGATGGGGAGGGCTGGCATAAATAGACACAGATATTCTCTTCTAAAGAACCCTAAACACACAAACAGGATATCTGTGCTGCCGAATTGGTGGGCTGCTTCCTGTAGTGAGGCTGCCATATGTTTCAGTAAACATCCTCTTTGATCAAATGTACTGTGCTACTACATGCAGTGTGCATTGAAGGACTTACATGCAGTATACATCATATACTGCACATAACATCATAACATGCATTGGAATAACCAATCCTACTTCTGGACTGTCCCCACATTGAGAACTCTGAAGATACACTCAACTGAACAAGAGCTGGGTCCACGTATGATCTTTCAGGAGGAGAGGAGAGGAGGATAAGGGGACCGTCCTGTCTGTCTGTCTGCTCCCATTGCAGGATTATAGACAGCTGTTTAATCTGACAGACACAGACACAGGGCACACACAAACGCATCATGCTCTGGATTTCACTTTTAATACATTAGAAAGTCTGCTAGGTCTGCAACCCCATCTGTGGCCATCTGTGCTCCTATTGTGCTTTGTGCTGAAGGACGAAACGCTCGAACCGAGAGAAGTAGAATAAGAGAGAGAGAGAGAGAGAGAGAGAGAGAGAGAGAGAGAGAGAGAGA